CCCACACACCCACGAGCCCGTTATAATTTTAAAGCCTCTGGGTCCAGGACTTGAACCATGGTCAGCCATGTGGGAGTCCAGTGATGTAACCATTATGCCATCTGCTGGTCCCAAAGAATTGATAAGTCCTTCAGGCTATTTTTATGCTTTGGACTGAGATTTAATTAATACAACTGAGAAGAAGTATAGAATTAGGAGTCTCCAAACAATTCAAAGGCCAACTGTTCTTAGTGTGGATATCAAAGACAACTGTGCACTTCTTCTAAGGATGGGTCTAGGCTGGCTCCCTTCTTATGCTGATGCATGAAGGAGATGGAGCCAGTTGAAGAGAAAACAAGTCATTCCATTCATTCATTACTTAGATAGTTAGAAGAGCCATCTATTAAGGAATTTGTGTATTATTAAACCAGGCACTTGCCATTGAAGAAATCCAATATGTTTTTCAAATGTTGCATGTTTCTGCTGACTTGGAAATACCACATGCCATTAGCAAGTTACAAAGTCTGAAAAATTTTTCTGAGCACTTAATCATGGAACTCTTTAGTCTAATTAGCAACATCTCAAAAAACTAGTATTCCAAGGGATACAGTTTGGGAACTGTTTTAAAACTAGATGATGACGATAGCCATTGATGATAACAGCTAGTATTTATTAAGAAAGTCCAGGGCCAGCAGGTGGCATGATGGTTAAGAATAAATACATTTTTTAGAAAAGAAAAAAAAAGGAAATTCCAGTGAGCCAGGCACTGACCTAGCATTAACGTGTATTGTATTGTCAGAAAAGTCATGACACGTTTTTGCGTAGAAACACAGAAAAACACATCATGACTTTTCTGACAACCCAATATTATATTCATTCAACCCTCACTGCAACACTATGAACTAGGGTACTGTTACAAATTCCCCTCTTGACAGATGAAGAAGAAAAGATACAAAGAAGCTAAACAACTTGCCCAAGTTATGCAGCTAGGAAGTACTGGAGACTGTGAGCTACTCGGGCATGGGGAGCAGGCATCAATTCATCTGTCTGTGCCCTACACTGAGCACAGTGCCTGGCACATAGAATGCACCCGGGAAACGACAATGGACCTGAGTTAGAGATAAGGTCCTAATAAAAAGAAATGACTGAAGGGTACCAAGTAGGACATTTAAGACCTTTAAGTGGTATTTGCATGATGACGGTACTCCCTTATCAATCAGGGTTTCTATTTGTTCTGGACAGGACAGTAGCCTAGAAAATGTTCCTGCTATAAACCATTTTGTATAGTGGAACCACTTGTATTTTGTATTGAATGTACCCTACTTAAGGGTAATGCAAAGATGGTGGGGAAATATTAGATAGTGCTGATTCTAGTTAGCATAAGAAATAATACCTCATTTGAAGGTGTATTGGGCTTTTCATGGGGGACAAGATACACTGAAAGAGGCAATACCACATCCATAAGGAACCACTGCAGTGCCTTTGTTGGTATAGTGGATGTTTTTGTAATGCAGTAAAATAAAGGCTATTGAGATTAGTCCATAGCAGCTTGTTAAATATTACAGGGCTAAAAATATATCCAGGTCAAAATTAGTAAATAAAATATCGGTGAATTTTATATGTAGGTTTGAGGAAGACCAGGAAGCACTAAAGAAGAAAAATAAACATAATTTCAGATGTAAAAGAAAGAGAAGCAAAGGCAGCTTGAGAGAAGACTGTTTTTGTATCCTGCAAAATAAAAAGGACATTTTATATTTAGCACTTCAGAAGCTTCAAATGCAGTCATTAAATGGTATTATTTCTCATAACTTTAACATAAAGCATTCCAAAGTGATGCTAATTAGACTAATTATGGACATTCAATGAGTGCTTCCTATGCTGTGTAAGCATGTTATACCTGGCCCTATGATTTATTATCATCTCCATATTATAGACATGGAAATGACAGCACAGAGAGGTAAAGTAGGTAAAGTAACTTCCCCATGATTCTACCCTACAAGATGGATTAAGGGCGCTAGCCATCTGGTTTTGTGATGCTAATTAGAATAATTATGGACATTCAATGAGTGCTTCCTATGCTGTGTAAGCATGTTATACCTGGCCCTATGATTTATTATCATCTCCATATTATAGACATGGAAATGACAGCACAGAGAGGTAAAGTAGGTAAAGTAACTTCCCCATGATTCTACCCTACAAGATGGATTAAGGGCGCTAGCCATCTGGTTTCAGAGCCTATGCTACTAGCCACTGAGAAAGAGAAAAGATTCAAAGGCTCAAGGATGTCCACATGTCTGGGAGACAAAATAAATTCTACTACCACTGTCGGGGTATTTCAGAGACTCCCTAGGTAGACACCAGAGGACTAAATATGACGATGTAAAGTAGAATCCTTGCCAAATGCATAGACCCTTCCTTGGTGGTTCATTCAATGACAGGTTTCCAGAGGTTATTATATATCCTGCCACTTAAGAACCCCATCAGTTTAAGGATTTGCATTAGTTATGACAGGTAAAGATCTGTCCCTCTACCCACCTCCGCTGCTGGTACATTCTAGAATTTGTAAAACTCTCAATGACCTGTTCACAGTCTGACCACATGATTGCCCCTCCAAAATATGGTCAGCTGTTTGTGATTGTGTTTATGCTAATGGTTCATCAGACTTAAGATATTCAGAAACTACCAAAAGCCCTGCAATATTTAGAAAAGTCCAGCTTGGGGGGGGGGGGGGTAGTTACTTTGCAGAAAGCACAGCTGGGCTCCTTGTTGATGGAAAGGAAATAAGAGGACCAGCAGTTAGCATAATGGCTATGTCACTGGACTCCCATGTAGCCAACTGCGGTTCGAGTCCCTGACCCGAAGGCTTAAACTCAAGCCAGGCGTGTGTGCATGCGTGCCCAAGATCCCGAGAGGAGAATGGAGGAGAAAGGATTGTGGTGTGGCCATCCTCCCTGGGGGATGATTTCTCGCTTTCTGTCTCTCTGTCTCTCTCTGTCTTTCTGGCAAGCACAAGCGCCTTATAGCAAAAACCTCTCCAAAGGAAAAAAAAAGGAAATAAGGAATTTTACAATATAGCATTGTGCATTGTACCTCAAGGCTCAGGGTAGGAGTCATTTGAGATTCAAACACAGAACCCTTACGAGAAATAACAAATTAAGTATTGAGTCAACAGAAATATTGAAAGTTATTTAGGGAAACAGCAGTTAGCGTAATGGCTATGTCACTGGATTCCCACGTAGTCGACCGCGGTTCGTGTCCCTGACCCGGTGGCTTAAAACTCACGCCAGGCGCATGTGCGTGCGTGCCCAAGGTCCCAAGAGGAGAATGGAGGAGAAGGGATTGCAGTGTGACCATCCTCCCTGGGGGGTGATTTCTCGCTTTCTGTCTCTATGTCTCTCTCTGTCTGGCTGGCGAGCGCACATGCCCTATAGCGAAAACCTCTCAAAAAAAAAAGAAAGTTATTTACATAATTAACTGTGTCAAATGCCTGAGACCCCTTCTCCTTTTTGTGAGTGACGCTTTAATCAGTTTAAACAATCAAAAACTTTACTAGTAGATCATGAGAACTAATAGCCTCTGGACCTTAAAAGATAAACACCCAAGCCTTGGGAAAAACAGTTGACTACAAAAATATATGGTTTAAAGAAAGATTTATTTTCAGTATTTAGGTCAACAAACTTGGACCCATTGGCCTATCTATATGTAAAAATGGAAATGGAATATATTTAATTCTCTATTGATGAGCACATCAAAAACAGACCCATCAAAAAACATTTCAAAAGAAAATACAACATTTTTGTACAAGAAAATTTAATTCTCAGTCATAAACTTTGATCATCTTACAATTTAGAACGGTTGAACAAAAAAAGCTTCTCCTTTCCTGGATCTTATGTCCTTTCTCAATTTTACCTTATGGGTATTACAAAGAAGAATTTTGTTTACTTCTTGAAGTTAGTCATCAGTTAGGGGTGAATAATCACAAAAACCATGACTTATTAAGCAACCAGGCTAAAATTGCACAGTTCGTGTTAAAATACAAATAAGCCTACTTACCTGGATGGCTCTGACATTGGAAACTGGCTGTTTTGACATATTCACGCAGTCTTATCCCTAAAAAAACAAATGAGAGACTGTTAGAAGTGGCGGTATTCAGATTCTCCGTCTTGATAAATTAGAAGTTAACTCATGATTCAACTGGGCAGTCACCCTTTTAACTGGCCATATATTCTTTCGGTCTCAGTTTCCAAAGTTACTTAGACACTCTCCTTCCTAATGCCTTGGGGAGAGGGAACACTAGAACTCCAGGATAAATCATTCAGGAGGAGAAATACTGAGATGCCTTGCCCCTGATGCTAATGATAGGCAATCAGAAACTTGAAAGGCGCTATCATCTCCTTCCCTGCCCTCCTGACCCTCTGCCAAGAGCAGCAAAGCAAAGAGGTTGTGGGAATAAAACACCTTTGTTCAGGGCCTTGAAGTTCGCTCTCCGTTTGAAACTGAACTTTTGATCTACATTTGTTATTGCTGGGTTTGCTAGTTAGTCCACTGGGGGCGCCTTCACTTCCTTGAGCTCCCAAGGAGAGATGGCCTGTCCCACTTCCTTACTACTCACTGACCATGTGTCTATTCTGCCCAACGCCCTGTCCCCACTCTGTGCATCCCCCAGATCCTCTTCAGGGTGCCTCACACAGAACCCAGGCTCAGTAAACACTGGCAGATGGCAAGCCTGTCTTCGTTTTGTTCAATGACAAGGTCTTAGAAAACAAGGAAGTCTTACGTGAACATGTCAGATTCCTGAGATGTAGAAATGCTCCCTTCCCAAAGGACTTTTGCTTTCTTTTAGCACATGAGACTGACTTAGAGCACAGGGATGAGAGCACATTTGGGGATGTGGTAGGTCCCCAGTTTATTAGGGCCAGGGGTGCCAGGAATAGTCTGACTCTAGCCTGTTTTTATAGCTTTGTCTATTGAATGGCCACAGGATTGATTAAAAAGTTAAACATTCATTAAATTTAAAACATGCTGTATGTTAAATCCAAATTAGAAAATAGATTGATTCTCTCAATTGACCGGTGTAAGTGTACGTGTTAACTGGTGAGTAAATGAACACAGAGAGCTGTGCTGCATTTGCCTCCAGTCCTGTGTAACATGGCAGCGTCACCCAACATTTATAGGCCTATTTCCTCATCCTTAAATTGTATTTGCTTCATAGGTTATGGCAAGAATCAAAATGACTGCACACCACCAAGGAATGTAAATGATGGAGGTGGTGGATAAGTTTGTTTCCGTGCTCTGAATACACATTGTATACATGTTTTAAAAACCACACTGTACTCCCACACAAAGGTGTATTACTATTATATGGAAATTAGAAATCACAATAAAAAGTATTATAGAAAAAGAGAATCAAAATGATATAACACTCCTGAAAAGGCCTTGTAACTACCAAGTGTGATGCAAATATTTAGCGTTTTATTGCCATTGCCCATAACTAGCGACTTTAGAGTGCTGTATTGATCTGCAGCTTTAAATACACAGTAAGAATTGATATAGTGATTGTCCTTAACACCTGTAGAGATAAAAAATCTGAGGGCCAGCTCCATGGTCTGGTGGTCAAGGCAGCTGGATCCCACATTGCCTAGCATGCAGTTTGAGTCCTGGATCTGGGGGCTTGATGAACATACTGGGTGCATGTGTGCACATGCCCCAAATCCTAAAAGCAGGGAGAGATGGAGAAGGTATTGTGGCATGGCCATGCCCCAGAGGGAGTGCTTCTCCTTTCCCTCTCTGTCTCTCTCTGGTGAGCACTCCTGTTGTCTAGGAAAAAAAAAAGTAAAATATCTGAGAACTCTCTGAAAAACTCAGATTTTTGAGACTTTCAAAGTCTTAGGATATATCATATCAAGTTAAACACCTATATATATTTTTTTTTTGAGAGGTTTTTGCTATAGGGTGCGTGCGCTCGCCAGACAGAGAG